ACGTATAGCTCAACGTTGATATTATATTAGCGCAATGAGGTCTTGTCTCCGGCAGGCAGGGGAGGTCCGTCGCGAGCATTCTCTTTGGGAGCACTCTCACCTTGCAACCCATCACCAGAGGAAGAGCTATCTCCAAAAGAAAAACTGTTACTTGAAGACTCACTGGGCGATGGTGGAGGGGTAACCACCACATATGGCATGTTAAACACGTCAGTAAGATCATGTTATGGAACCAAGATATTATATGCAGTTTCTAAATACGGGTAGATGTCCTGGATAGCCTTCGTCATAGGCAAGGCGCCAACAACGGCGTCGCGGATAAAGGCACAGGTAGCTTTCCAAAAGGTGGTCACCTTGTTACGAAGCATGGATGCGTCATATGGGTCGGATGCAAAGTCTTTCAAGATCTGTACTAGTAAATCACGCGCCCCAGCATTCCCTGCTGACCCCAACATACTCCCAACCCCCCAACACAAACGGGTGCGAACCCCACACTTTCCTTACACCAGTGGAGATAATATCCCCAAAGATTGCATGAAGGATTGACGGTCTGTCCCCGATGCCCGCAGTCCAGCCTTCAGGCGCACGACCTCTCCCTTGACCGACTCAATGGTGCAGACTTAGGTGTGCATCTGTTCCTCAAAGTCAATCTTCACCTTTAGTATCTTAGAATGAAGAGCGGTCGCTCTAGCAGTGGCTCCTTCCATGCACATGCCCAACGAGCCTAACCGGTGATGCACTACAGTGCGCTACACTTAAAATACTGATAGCAAGAAAATTCACTATTTGCGAACCATGAATAGAAAACACGAGATGGATCAAACTTCACTATGGCCACATCCTTAGATTGTCAATCACCTATTTGCGACCCTGTGTCCGCTCTTGCGCCTAGCGACAATGAGAAGTCAGCGGTCCGGGCTCAACCACATCTTCATTAGTCGCAGCAGGGTTAGGAGGCACCTGGAAAGCGCCGCTCCCATCCTTGTTCCTTTTCTTGCTCCCCACTTGCGGTTAGCTATGTGTTGATCCTCTTTGGCTGTCGGAGGCCTTCCGTTTTCTTGACACTTTTAATTTCTCCATGATCGCATTCTTGGCCATGTCATCTGCAGTCACCGCTACAGCATTAGATAATAATTTTTTACGCCGCCGCGGTCGCCTCATGCTGTTTGTTCTTTATGCCCGCATCCCGCACCTCGAGGGGCCGACCGCCGTCCTCGGTCTAGGAATCGGTTGTGCTTGCGTCCATACCAGGAGGGGATGACAAATCCTCGGAGTCCACAATGAAATAGTATCCCCCGATTTCATATCACGTTTCTCAACGAAATTAGGGAGTGCGATCCCATCAACGGATTATGTTAGAAGCTGAACCACCCAGAGTAGTTGCATTGTGAACACATCATCTTGACAAAGCATCGAAACAAGAAGCATCGCTAATTATGGGATTGTGTAGTTGCGTTTGCAGGTTCCCAGGTAGCGCAATGCTGCTCGCTTACTCTTGGGTCACGCATTTGCGCTCGTTAGTTTCGGGGTCGTGCCATGCCGTTCGGTGACTCCCAGGGTCGCTTCACCCCGAATCGATGACATACCTAAAGGAACCCCAGAATGACCCAATCACATTTGGCGACCACTCTGCCAGGGGCATTTCATACACTCGCATTAAGTCCGGCACAAAAGGAATAAGGGGAAGATTCAACCCAAGTTCCAATTGACGGAAATATACAGTCATTTTCCCGGGAGGGTTTATCTTCATATCAGTGTACTGGATTTCGCATTAAGCTTGTGCTTGAGGATATGCGCTACCGCGGTTTCCAAAACTAGCCAATGATAGTAGCGCTCTTAAACTCTGAAAGTTACTGTGTCACAACCAGGCTATGACTTGCCTTAGATCGCCTACATTAGGGCTCACCTGAAGAGAGGGTTGCACGCCAATGATTACCTTTCCTCTTCTTGATTGAATTTTCTCTCGCCGTAGATTGTCCTTCTCTCCCTTGTGGTGAATATCTTTGCTCAATCGTTTATGATTGACCACATCGATTGAAACGCCATTCGCCAACGACATGTTTTTAACGATGTTGGTATAGCCACCTGTTTGGTTTAAGCACTCCTCGCCGGTCACTTGATTGATCACCCTCTCAGAGCATCGTTCAATGATTGATTGTCTTTGTTACCTCAGAACGGGCATCGCTCCTTAATTGTTTACTGTCGATCGCCTTGGTTGGAGTATTGTTCTCTCAATGATTTATTCGTGAATGCTTGGGTGTGTCGCTTGCCGATGACTTGTCTTTGTTTATCCGCCGTCGGCTTACCATTGAAAGCATCTGCTGGGGCATCGCTCACTGACGCTGTGTCTTTGCTTACTTTGATGGAAGCGTTGCGCGTCACTTGTTCTTAGCAACCACCATAGGCAGAGGTAATTCCCACTGGGGCGCCATCAAGTTCCTTGAGGATCGCGCAATTGCGCTCGTAGGTTCCCAGGCCGTGCCATGCCGCTCCTTGACTCCCAGGGTTGCACAAACACGCTCGCTTGCATCGGGGTCGTGCGTTGGCGCTTGCTTATTCCTATGTCGTGCATTGGCACTCGCTAGTTTCGGGGTCACGCCTCGTCACTCGACGATTCACCTTAGATAGATTGTCACTCTCCAATGGCCTATGCACTTTCTAGTATTGGGGCAGCAAACTGCTTACACATCCGAAGATAAGAGTCACTTAATACTTGAACACCAACAATCGGCATTCTTGCTGTCTTGCGTGATCGCCGTCTCATCCACTTAGGTGGACCCTCGAATGGGCAGTTCCGCCGTAAAATTGGATGATAGGTCCATTTACATTTGTACGCCAAGTTTTGTATTCAAATTTAACTGTGTAGATGTGTTTTCTACTAACACTTGGTAGCGGCAATTAATGGGGCATGGACCATTGGTCATTACTAACTTACCTCAACCGCTCAGTGATGGGGTAACCCTCCACCCGCCCGAGGATTCGGACAAAGCGATCCGAAGTCCACAAATCATGGAGGCCCAATTCACACATTTTATTACTAAAGCCCGAATCCTAACAACCTATTGGATTTGGTCTTTAACGGGGGCAATCGATGAGACAATAAATAATCTATTGTCTTTTGGGCCCTAATCTTAAAAGCCCAAGTAACACTCAAGATCCATCTAGAGCCATGTAAATCCATGTGCTTGAGGAATATTCTTATTATATTCTTTCTTGGGTCTATAAAAGGAATCCCTCATTCATTTATTTGATACATCATTCTCTCTCTACATAGCATTTAATACTCTTCCTTTCTCTCTTTAAGTGTTTTGACTTTGGTATCAGAGTTTTAACTCTGTTTTGTAGAGCATTTTAAGAATTATAGGCACTGTCCTGTGGACTGACTCCGTTTTGTAGAGCATTTTAAGAATTATAGGCACTGTCCTGTGGACTGACCAAGGAACGCACCAACAAATATAATTCTAACTTTGCAGCAAAGTTTCTTGTCATATCTAGTTCTCTTTTGTTGTCTGAGAAAAACTGTATTGGTTGAAGTATGTAAGATTTGAAAATCTATTACATTTCACTTCTATTGTTGTGATTTTTATTATACAAATAATCTACTTAATAGTTCTTAGGTTTGCTCTTTACATTGTAGTCGAGTCTCAAGATAACTTTCGCGATTATCATCTTTTATTTATACCAATAAGAATTAGAGTTCCTAAAGTGTAATAACAATGTCGTTTTCAAATTGGCCATCTAGTATTAGTAGTGCACACTTTTTCTCTCTTTTTCCCCCTTTTAACCCTTTTTGCCCTCGTAAAATTGGATTTGCCTAAGAAAAAATTTTAGTCCATAACTTCATCGTGGTAAACAACAATTTGCTACTCCCTCTATATCTCATGTTATCCTCCCCGTCTGGCGTTAACCCTGTAACTAGCAACCCAAAATATCTAAAAATAAAGTAAGTACTTTACAGCTTTATTGTAAACAATCCTGATTCTGAGATTGTCTCTCAACAAAAACTTGTTCAACCTCTTTTTTTTGACACATTAATTTATAAGCATACTTAGGGAAAGATTTACAAACTATAAGTCGACACTAGTGTCGTCTTCGCCATTCTATCAGCGTTTTCTACGATATTTTTACTAATTTTCATACAATACTGTTTGGAATAAGACCGAACAAGAACACAATATCCTCCCCTATACCTTTAAGGTGGTAAGGGAATTTCTCCTTGAGACCGATTCTACCAAGAGCTTGCTGTCAATAGACTAAAGGACATGTACTGGAAACTAGTCAGTCACTTGTTTGTCATATGTCACTATCATGTGTACTTTTTCTTCTCCTATTAAATTTCTTCCTGGTTCAACATAAAATCAATTACAATTTCCATTGGGGAAAAATGGTACTACTACTTCTTGCTAACTGACTAACAGCTAGAATAAAGGAATAAAAACATGCAGAAAACACAAAGTCTAAAACATTTTTTTTTTAAAAAAATATGAATGAAGAAGATTCAACAATTGTCCCCGAAGACCAAGAAGCATTAAAAGGCACATGCTTAAATCAAGTCGAGTGACAGTGGCAGATTAAAAAATAGTCACAAAGACTCACCAATTAAGGAGCCAAAAGTCTAGTTCTATGATTTAATTAAGACTTTTTGACTCAGTTACCTAATCTTATCTTTTTTAAACAAGTGATTTTCTGTCTATGTCTCGACATTTTCTTTAGTGCGCGTTTGTTTTATATGCTAAAAGCCTTGAAATGTAAGATTGCATTTTTTTCATTAAAAAAAGTTTGTTTTGTCTAATTTGTAGCCTTTTTTTTTAAAAAAAATGTCAAACTACCCTTTTTACATAGTTTATTAAGGTACACACAACACAAGTTCTAAAAAAAATTATCATACTTGCAAATAATTAACTAGCCAGTTTAGATTTCTATTTTTAGTATAATTTAAACTAAAATGAAATTTTAATCTGAATAATCATTTCGAGACAAATAAAACAAAATATCTTTATCTTTTATTTGTAGGACAAGGTTGGGCAATTGGTATATTTGTTCAACGTGTGATATCAGCAATCACTAATTCACTCGCTATAAAATGAAGAAAAAGAACGCAAACTAACTCCATCACTAAAAACACAAACTCTAAATACCAAAAGTCTCCGTCAACGCTTTCTTCTCACATCCTAATTAATTCATGGGCCTCCTCCATAGCATTTTTGTTCTCATTTTATTCTTGATTCCTTTAGTTTATCATCTCCGGCAAAGGAAGAAGCAAAAGCTATGGCCGCCAAGTCCGCCGGCTCTTCCGATCTTAGGCCATCTCCACCTCCTTAAACCCACCCCTCATATAGCTCTACAAAAACTCCTCACCAAATATGGCCCTTTAATTTCCCTCCGTTTTGGAGTTTGCCCAGTTCTCATTGTTTCTTCTCCATCTCTGGCAGAGGAATGCTTCACCAAGACTAACGATATCATTTTCGCAAACCGGCCGGATTCCACCTCCGGCAGAATCCTAGGCTATAACAATACCACCCTTATACTCGCACCTTACGGAGTTCACTGGCGGAATCTCCGCCGTATAACCACCATTCATGTGTTTTCTTCGATTAGTCTTCACCGTTTCTCCTCTGTTTGGACAGAGGAGATCCGTTTCGCGATCGAGAAACTACTCCCGGCCGGAAGTAGTTCCGATTGTGAAGGTACCGAAAGGAGCTGGAAAGCTGTGAACTTGAATACTCTGTTTAAGAAACTGATGCTGAATGTTATAATGAAAATGGTGGCCGGAAAGAGATGGCCGTCCGATCAGCCAGCCGATTCGTTTATCCCGCAGCAGGTCTCAAATCTGTGTGACTATATTCCTATTTTGAAGTGGATCGGATACGGAGGATTGAAGAAGAATGTGCTCAAAATACTCGAGGACAGGGACAATTTTGTACAGAGTCTAATTGATGAAGCTCGATTAGCCCAGGAATCGAAGGACGGTTCATCTTCATTTGGGATCAAAACAGTTACTCAGACTTTGCTGTCTTTGCAAAAAGAAGATCCTGATTACTACACTGATGATATTCTCAAAGGAATCATGATAGTAAGCTTCCTTATTACATCCTACTTTCCTTAATTTCTTTCATGAATTAATTCCCTATAATTGGTAGTTATAATTAACCCGGTAAGTCACGAATAAATATGACAAGGAAAATGGCATTATTTTCCATCTTTCTTTGTTGCAAGTTTAGTTACATAATGTCATAAATACATACTCCCTCCGTCCTAAAATTATTGTCCACTTTGCCCAAAAAATTTTGTCCCAAAATTATTGTCTAATTTGACTTTTTTATGGATCAACTTACACATTTGTCCTTAGTAAAAAACATTATCCATAAAATCTTAGTGGTTAAACAATTACTTATGTAGGGGTATATCCGGTTGTTTAAGGTAAAATATAGTTAAGTTTGACCAAAAATAAAATCTTTCATTTTAGTAAAACTGGACAATAATTATGGACGGAGGGAGTATAAAAAAAGCATTAGGATGAAAAACAGGTTAGTTAAGATCCCTGAATCTCTATCACTTTAACAGCTAAGAATAGTCTTGAAATATGTCAGATTCTAACCAAACTTGTGTGTAAATTACTAGACTATGTTCGCTGCCGGGACGCATACTTCGGGTCTGACAATGGAATGGGCAATGTCGTATATGTTAAATCACCCTGAGGTACTGGAAAAAGCAAAGAATGAACTACAAAACAACATCAACATGAAGCCAGGGGGTCTCATAACGGATGCGGATCTCGCGAAATTACCTTATTTGCGTTGCATTATCAACGAAACACTCCGGCTTTCACCTCCAGCGCCAACTCTTGTTCCGCATTACTCATCCGACGATTGTACAATCGGAGGATTCAGAATCCGTAAGGGCACGACGCTGATGGTAAACGCTTGGGCTATCCATAGGGATCCAGATGTTTGGGAAGAACCCGAAAAATTTATTCCGGAGAGATTTGAAGGACTTGATGATCATGGAGGAGTTATTCATGAAGGCTCCTCCAAATTTCTACCATTTGGTAAAGGGAGAAGAGCTTGTCCCGGAGCTGCTATGGCGATGAGATTGGTCGGGATGTCATTGGCCGCTTTGATTCAGGGCTTTGAATGGAAAAGAGTTGGGACGGAAATGGTGGATTTGGAAGAAAAAGTTATCACTACGTTGGGCAAATCCAAACCTTTGGAGGCACTCTACAGGCCTCGTCAATTAGTGAATGGATGAAGATTCAAGATTGAATAGTTTAGTGCATTTCTCTATATTTCCATCCATCATGAAGTGCTCTGTTGAATATTGTACATACGAAAACAATATACACTAGATGTTATATTTTTATAAATTACTTATAAAATATCTTTAAAAAAATCACATGTATATAAATCATAATCAGTGTAATAATAATTGCTAAAAATTTGAACAAACAAAAATGTAATGACATGATCACATGATAAATGAAAGAGAATTTCTTTTTTACACTATAAATGTGCATGATACAAAAAAGGGAAAAACATTAAAAAACTATAATACTGTACCAATTTGTTAAAAAATAAAGAAATTTCCGAGATTTGTTGATGTGTAATTTCATTAGGAGAAGTATTCCCATTACAATGATACCATCATGAGAAGATAAACAACACTCACAATTATGAAGCTAATGGTCCGATTCTATGTTCCATTCTCACCAAAAAAAAAAAAATCAATTAAAAAAATCAATCGTGTTAATCTTAAAAATAATAAATTCAAGGCTTTGTAAATCCCATTTATGAAAGTAATCCAATAATATCTTAAACAATATGATCACAATAAGTGCATCTCCATTTTTTAGTATATCCCTGGATCTAATCACCAAAATATTCAAAGTTAGGAGGGGGAGTGAATCGAGTGATTGTTGAAAAAATAGCAGAGAAACGAAAAAAAAAACTTAAACACCGAAAAATATTGGAATGGGTAGAAAGAATATCGATCAAAGAATATTTATATATCAATTTCCTATGATTAATAATCAAGATACTAATTATTGCATTTTTTTTTATTTAAATGGTGTCGTTTGAGAGATCGTTTCATTTATTTTTTTCAAGTTTCCTTTACGGTTTGATAGATGGTACGAATTACACATTAATTAAATTCAAATTTGAAAATGAATAGTACTAATTAATATCAGTGATTCCCACATTATCTTTACACATTTATTATAATTGAATGTGTGAGGTTTTTTTTTTGGAATAAGATCAATAGTTATTAGATATATTAGTAATTAAGTGCAGAAAACATATAGGATTGGATTATTAATTTTCACCTTGATTTTTGAGAGTGAGAACAATAGTAATTGGATATATATAATGTTAATTAATTTAGATAATTATGGTGAATGTACTAAAATGTTATTAATTAATATTTTTAGGGGCTATTAGCTAAATATTGAAACTTTTTTTTTCTAAAATTTTTTAGAAATTGACACGTAGGATTTCATCATAGGTGGCGGCGTAAAAAGTCTCTTTGAAATCTCTCTCTGGTTTCTCTCTTAGTATAATATACTATGGATATATACTAGTTTTAATCCTGCACGTTGTGCGTGTTGTTCAAGATATATATGATCTTAATCATTTAATGATTATATAATATTTTGGCCGAAGTGATATATGTAAAAAAAATAATATATTGTAATTATCTACTTTTTAATGTCAATGTATTTTGTTATTTTAAGTAAATTTAGAAATTTTTTCAATATTTGAAATCATCCAATTTAACTTATTGTTTACCTTAACTATGATGATTATTTTAAGGTTTTGTTGATTTGTGGCTTTATATTTTTTAAAAGAATTCTTTTAATTTTTTATAATGATCTCTCTCATAAAATTTTCTCACTACTTCTTTCTACAAACTTATGTTTATTTTCCATCTCTCTCTATATCCTTCGATACCTATTTTTTAGAAGTTTGTTTGCAAATTTTTCCTATAATATAATATTTACTTTATTTTCTTTCTGGGTTCCTATTATAGTTATTCATATTTAGGGGATCACTATAAACATTATTAAGAAGATTCTATTGTACACTCTTAATCTTTCGCAAACCCCGAGAATAATTTCTGAATTTTTCAATTACTATTGTCGCATCATCCATTAGTTGGGAATGAGTGATGTTCCTTGCTAAATGAGTTTAATTTTTTTTTCGGATCAATAATTTTTATATTAAATTAGATATTCAATATACTTTTCTTCTACTATTTCCGTGTCACGAAGACATTTATTCTTTTTCTCTTTTTGAAAAATTTTCTTCCTATTGATTTATACGTTTTGTTTTATCATCATAATGTTAACCTGATTTCTACCATTATATTATATGGAAAAAATATAATAAATCATCTATTTGATTTTTTATATTTTGCTGCAAATTACCATTGTTCATCAAGATTAGAAGATTTATGGATGAAAATCGCGTGTCACACTTGAATTCCAAAATGCATATGCAAAGAAAAAAGCAAAAAAAAAAAAAAAAAAACAAGCTATTTAGCATCAATATGGAGTGTTAATTTTCTTAACTATGATGAATAATTTTAAATAATATATAAAAATATATATTTAAATATAGTATCATTACATTAATAAATAGTTTAATCTTATTATGTTCGTGACTCGATAAATAATCATGTATATAGTATAATATTATTAGGCCGTCGGATGCCGTAATCATTTTTAATTAAACGTATATTTAATTATTCTTAATCAATTACTTTTTTCTTTTATAATTTTTATATTGTGAAATAAACAAAAATCATTTTTAGTATTTCCAGTTAACGGGCAAAAAATATATTGTCCTTTAGATTTTATTAAATATATTTATATTACCCATCAGATTACCCATTATATAATAGGCTATAATATATTAATATTATTTTTTTCTCATTAATTTTTCACCATTACGGGAACATAATATATATGTGCCCCTTAAATGATGCCATATATTTAAAATCCATATATATATAATGGAAATGTGCCCATTAAAAATCAACATATCTAATATTATGGTTAATATGTGTCTTTATAGGGTATATTTTTTTGAAAATTCTACCCTTTAATTATTCTTAATCAATTACTTTTTCTTTTATAATTTTTTCTATTATGAAATCAACAAAAATCATTTTTAGTATTGCCAGTTAAGGGGCAAAAAATATATTGTCCTTTAGATTTTATTAAATATATTTATATTACCTATTAGATTACCCATTATATAATGGGCTATAATATATTAACATTATTTTTTTCTCATTATTTTTTCACCATTACGGACACATAATATATATCTGCCCCTTAAATGATGCCATATATTTAAAATCCATATATATGTAATGGAAATGTGCCCATTAAAAATCAACATATCTAATATTATGGTTAATATGTGCCTTTATATCGTACATTTTTTAAAAAAATTCTACCCGACAGATAATTTATTGTGCGACAAAAATATGTAATGGATATTGCATAACTACACATCAAGAGGCGAAAATATATTTAAGGCTGGACACAGTATCACAACATATCGTAATAACATGTTCCATATATTTATGACCACTAAAATCATATTAATAGTGTAGCAATGTTACTATTAATAACCAGTTAATTATATCATGCCGTGAAATTGATGATCATTAACATGCCATATATCTAACGAATATTAATAGTAACATTAGTGTACGATGATTTCCCTACTCAATGGTCTCACGCCTACAGGATAATGTAAATGGATTACTTAAACTATTTATTAGCTGATACATAAGTAGGTTATTTAGTTTTATTTACAAATTTCTAATTTTACATTAAAAATTTATCATTAAATGACGGATGACAGGCCGTTGTCACACTAGTCAAATAATAATTACCTACTTAATACAATTACTAGTAGTAAAGTAGCAAGCAGAATCGATCCCACAGAGAAGGAATACTAATTATAAGGTATAAATTACTCCTATTATTATCTAGATAAACAATGATCTCAGATTTATAAAATTTAAAACTAAAATAAATAAATAAAATAAAAGCAAATAATATTAATTCAAATAATCAGACAAAGAAAACCTAGGACATCGGGTTCACCTACCGAATATTTGGTTTGATTCAATTCATAAATATCTGACTTTTAACTTCCATTAATCTCACAACGATTCACCTAATTAAGAACTATTCACCGTCGTGATTTAATTCTCTTACTCTAATTAATTCTATGACTACTGTCGTGATTATAGAAAATAACTAGAGCACATTAAGAACTTAAGAATCTAACGTTGCAAAGCTTGTGTTCCTACTGTCGTGGTTCACTACCTAAGTCCAATATTCCCATGAACTAATATTAATTTTCAACTGTCGTTCTATCAATTAATATCTTTAAATATGCAAGTAGTGGCCAGTTACAAACATGGAATAAAAACAAGAATATTAAATATTTATCAATGAAAAAGAATCAAAGTATCATGAATCAAATAAACCAAATAAATCCGGCGACTACATCCAAGTCCTAGGTTAAACGAATTTAGTTACACATTATCTCAAAAATAAATAAAACAATGAAACCCGGGAGTCCGAAATTGCTTGCGTCCTCCTCCGATGATGATGCTTTGGATTGGTGCTTGAGGTAGTGATGGTTGGGGTTTTGTGGCGTGCGAAAGGGCTGGTGGAATTGGGAGGTGATATTAATGGGGTGATGAGGGGAGTTGGAGGATGGTGCGTGGAGGTGTTAGGTGGAAAGTTTGGGCGTTGATGATGATGATGAAAGTGATGGTGATGGTGCTGCGTGGAGAAAAGAGTGGTGATGTGTGGCTGCGGCTGGTGTTGTGCAGATGGGGTGCTTTGGTGCGGCGGTGATGAAGAGTTGGAGGCCGGGGGCTGCCGAAGTTCAAGGCTGATGGATGGAAGCAAGGTGGTGGTTAGCGGGTTGATCAAGGAAGCAAAGTGGAGCAGCCGTGAGTTGCAGCAGCAGTTCATAGGGTTTCGATGATTTTTCGGTCAAGTTCCGTTCTAAAAATAAATCCTTAATCTTCTTTTTATAGGCTGCCGTCAAAACCCTACTTCTTGGAGAGAAAGAAAACTTGTTTCCCAAATAATATTGGGATTAAAATTCTTACTCAATTCCAATCCCAAATCAACCGCACCGTCATCGTTGTACGGCCAATTTCCAAAAACCAAAAATTCCAAAATTGCTTGTTTAATCTTCTAATTTTTTAAGTACTTCAATTTCTTCCTTGTCAATTTATCAAATCTTCAATTCTCCCTTTGAGTTTCTTTTATCTTCATTTTAGCCCAAAATTTCAACAATTCCTCCATTTAAGTACAATTCCTACAATTAAAGATAAAATCACATAAATAGCAGAAATGTATTCAAAATAGTAGCAAAATCTCGCATAAAAGGATATTAAAAATAGGTAAATTTAAAGCACATCAAATACCCCCAAACTTGAAATATTACTTGTCCTCAAGTATTCTCAAAAATTAAAAAAAACAA